TACATGTACCTCCCATGTTTCTATTGAAATAGGCCTACTGCAGATACTTACTTTTGAGTAAACTATCCAAAACATATTTTAATGTGATGGATAACCACCACTGGAATCAAAATTTAAGATGTTTATTCTTACTACATAAGTTATCTAACCTATGACTGCCTATACAGAGTGGCTAAATGGATGAAAATGTTAATATTTCAGGATGCAACAAAAACTGGTAAGGAAAGACAAGAAGCAAGCTGGTGAGGAATATTGATAGCAAAAAGAGATGTCAACACAAAAGGGTTTAAATAATGAAGAGGAAAGTACAGAAGAAAATGGTTTGGAAGAAAAGCCAGTTGGAAAAGAGTTTAAATGTAGTACAGAGTGCCAGGAGGATATGCAGTTTGATTCAGTATTAAATCTTGGACAATTACCAGAAGAGGCATCGGGTTTTTCCACTGTTGTTAATACAACAGTGGCATTTGAAGATGCCTTTGATATAAGACCACCAGAAAAAACACCAACGCCAAGTCATATCTTCCAATTGATGCATAATTATGGACCACAGATTGTTCCAAATGATATCAGGAATGAAATGTGGACAGCCACGAAGGCAGACTTGCAGGAAATGATTTCTAATGGTTTGATTCCCCAGGATACGATGGACTCAGCGGGTAAAAGACCTTTTAAAATGTTTTAGAGATATTGTTTATATTCACAGTAATAATCAATTTGAACACACAATTTCGATTAAGATTTAATTATAAATAAGGTTTTGTGTTGGGAGGTTTTACACGCACTAGGCGTATGTCAGCTACATGTGGTATGGGAGGTGTTAGACAGGCTATGTCAACTGTAATGGTTTTGGTTATATGAGAAATTCATTTATTTATTATTTTATTGATATCATAGGGATAGACCCGGAATCCTATGAGCACTTCATGGATTGCGTCACAGAAATTCGAGAAAAGATCTGGGAGGAGGAATTACGGACAGCATTGAGTATTCTACGTGGTGCCAGACGTATTTTCTCCGCTTCTAATGACGCTGATCTCCGGCACGTTTTTTGTGGACCACCTATTGAAGTGCTGGCCGATATTTACTATGATGGCATCGGAGTCTTGCCCAAGAACCAAATGACTGAGGACCCTTTCCATCATTCTCTTTTTTCAGATAGATTGTTTGACGAGCAGGACCGTTCCCAGGATTTTCGATGGGGAGGTGCGTTTTGAGAGCGTCCGCACCCTCTGCACCCTATGAGCCTGGACGAGTAGGTCTACAATAATACACAGTACTTCTGAAGCTCAAGATATTTGTGAAATTGGAAAAACATATTTTAATTACAGGACAAACAATGATGTATATAATATGTTATGGGCTTTAATTTACAGTATGTACTACTTAAAGAAACGTCAGGGTTGCTCTAATGTACACAGCAATTAAAAATGCAATTTCAATATGTATTTTAAAAGAAAAGTTTAAGCTGTTGGTCCTATTTGCAATATGGCAATGTAATGTGGGGGGGGGGGGAGAAGACAACATGTTTGTCTAAAGAAAGGATGGGATTACACCCAAGTCAATAGTGTACAAACACATTTTAAGGGGTTGAAGAGTAAAACAAACTTATTACAATAATTACAAAAGTACTGTTACAGTAGGCCTAATGTGGAATTGCCATTCTTACAGTATATGCTTGTTTATATTCATAAACCATCTCTTGTATTTTAAACAGAAAGGATTCTTTTTCATCTGGTCTTTTTCAATTCTTTAAGAATCATGATATTCATTTCTAGTTGAAATAGTCTGACATTGTAGTCTACAATACAATGTGCAATTGGGTTTTGGTTTTCCAGCACTGTGTTCATGCTCCTAACATTTATTGTTGTTTTTAAACCACAAGATTTTTCAAAA